AGCCATCATTGTTGTTTGGCGGGCCCAGGCTGGATTCGAACCTGCCACCTTAGGTGTATGTGGCTGGCGCCTTAGCTGCTTGAGCCACAGGTGCCGAGCCGACATCTCAGTTTTAAACATTTATACATCTAACGTAAATGCTCCCAGATTTATGAAACAGACTTTGAGGGTTCTGAGGAATACTATCTCATAACACCTTTGGCAACTTCAACACCCCTCTGACAGAACTGGACAGATCCTCTAAACTGAAACTAAACAAGGATACAAAGGACTTAAAACGTGACCCTACAACAAATGGGATTAATAGACATACAGAATACACCACCCCAAAGCAAAAGAATATACTTTTTTCTCATCAGCTTGTGGCATATCCTCTGAAGTAGATCACATCCTAGGATACAAATCAAACCTCAGCAAAATGAAGGGAATAGAAATTATTCCATGTCTCTTCTCAGACCACAAGGCTATATTGGTAAAGCTGAACTCCAGTAATAATGTTCATCCCTGCACAAAGTCTTGGAAACTAAACAACATTATGCTGAATGATAGTTGGGTTCAGGAAGAGCTAAAAGAGGAGTTTGTTAATTTCCTCATACATAAGAACAATGAAGATACAGGTTACCAAAACCTCTGGGATACAGCAAAAGCAGCCCTGAGAGGAAAATTTATAGCACTAGATGCCTACCTTCGAAAAACAGAAAGAGAGTGTATCAGCACACTCACAAACCATCTTAGGAAATTGGAATAATATCAACCTAATGCTAAACTTAGCAGAAGAAAGGAAATAGCCAATACAATCAGGCAAGAATAGGAAATAAAGGGCATCCAAATGGGAGCAGAGGAAGTGAAACTTTCCCTCTTTGCTGCTGATACGATCTTATAGTTAGAGAACCCCAAACACTCAACTAGACTCCTGGAAGGGATCACAAAATACAGTAACGACTCAGGATATAAAATCAATGTCAACAAATGAGTAGCCTTTTTGTATACCAATAACAACCAAGAGGAGAAGGTAATCAAGGTCACAATTCCCTTCTCAGTGGCTTCAAAGAAAATGAAATACCTAGGAATATACTTCACAAAAGAGGTGAAGGACCTCTATAAAGAAAACTATGATCCCCCAAGAAAAGAAATATCAGAAGATATTAACAAATGGAAGAACAGCCTCTGCGCCTGTGGCTCAAGTGGCTAAGGCACCAGCTACATCTACCGAAGGTGGTGGGTTTGAATCCAGCCCAGGCCCGCCAAACAACAATGACGGCTGCAACCAAAAAAAATAGCCAGGCATTGTGGCAGGCGCCTGTGGTCCCAGCTACTTGGCAGGCAGAGGCAGGAGACTCGCTTGAGCCCAGAAGTTGGAGGTTGCTGTGAGCTGTGATGCCATAGCATTCGACCCAGGGGGACAGCTTGAGGCTCTGTCTCAAAAAAAAAAAAACAAATGACAACAACGTTGTCAAAATGTCTATACTTCCCAAAGCAATCTATAGATTCAATGCCATCCTCTGTTAAAATACCAACATCATACTTTCAAGACTTTGAAAAAATAATTCATCATTTTATATGGAACCAGAAAAAATCCATATAGCCAAGGCAATTTTTTTTTTTTGAGACAGAGACTCAAGCTGTCTCCCTGGGTAGAGTGCCATGGCATCACTGCTCACAGCAACCTCCAACTCCTGGGCTCAAGCGAGTCTCCTGCCTCAGCCTCCCGAGTAGCTGGGACCACAGGTGCCCACCACAACGCCTGGCTATTTTTGGTTGCAGCCATTATTGTTGTTTGGCGGGCCCGGGCTGGATTCGAACCACCTTAGGTGTATGTGGCTGGTGCCTTAGCCACTTGAGCCACAGGTGCCAAGCCAAGGCAATTCTTAATAATAAAAACAAAGCTGGAGGCATTAGCCTACCAGACTTTAGGCTATACTACAAGGCCATAGTGATTAAAACAGTGTGGTATTGGCCCCAAAATAGAGACATAGACATCTGGAGCCGAATAGAAAACAGGGAGAGAAGCTAACATCTCCCAGCCACCTAATCTTTGATAAACCAATCAAGGACATATACTGGGGGGAAGAACCCCTATTCAATAAATGGTGCTTGGAGAACTGATTATCCACACATAAAAGACTGAAACTGGAACCGCACCTTTCTCCACTCACAAAAATTGATTCAGGATGGATAAAAGACCTAAATCTAAGACACAAGATAATAATAATCCTCAAAGGAAGTGTAGGGAAAACACTTGAAGCTATTGGCCTGTGGAAAGACTTTATGAGGAAGATTTCCATGGCAATTGCAACAACAACAAAAATAAACAAATAGGACTTAATGAAACCGAAAAGCTTCTGTACAGCTAAGGAGACAACAACCAAAGCAAATAGACAGCCTATACAATGGGAAAGGATATTTGCATATTTTGAATTAAACAAAAGCTTAATAACTAAGATCTACAGAGAACTCAATAAACTTAGAAAAAGCCAACAATCCTTTATACCACTGGGCAAGAGAGATGAATACAACTTTCTCTAAGGAAGACAGACAATGGCTAACAACATATGAAACAATGCTCATTTTCCCTAATTAGAGAAATGCAAGTCAAAGTCACCCTGAGGGGAGGATGGGTGGAGGGAGGGTAATTGGTGGGACCACACCCTGTTAAATTTACTAAATGTAGAGTATAAATGTTGGCTCACGCCTGTGGCTCAAGCGGCTAAGGCGCCAGCCATATACACCTAAGGTGGTGGGTTCGAATCCAGCCCGGGCCCGCCAAACAACAATAATGGCTGCAACCAAAAAATAGCCAGGCATTGTGG